TGGAGCACAGAGTGTAGATCTGATGGAGCACAGAGTGTGTAGATCTGATGGAGCACAGAGTGTGTAGATCTGATGGAGCACAGAGTATAGATCTGATGGAGCACAGAGTGTAGATCTGATGGAGCACAGAGTGTAGATCTGATGGAGCACAGAGTGTAGATCTGATGGAGCACAGAGTGTAGATCTGATGGAGCACAGAGTGTAGATCTGATGGAGCACAGAGTGTAGATCTGATGGAGCACAGAGTGTAGATCTGATGGAGCACAGAGTGTGTAGATCTGATGGAGCACAGAGTGTAGATCTGATGGAGCACAGAGTGTAGATCTGATGGAGCACAGAGTGTAGATCTGATGGAGCACAGAGTGTGTAGATCTGATGGAGCACAGAGTGTAGATCTGATGGAGCACAGAGTGTAGATCTGATGGAGCACAGAGTGTGTAGATCTGATGGAGCACAGAGTGTAGATCTGATGGAGCACAGTGTGTAGATCTGATGGAGCACAGAGTGTAGATCTGATGGAGCACAGAGTGTAGATCTGATGGAGCACAGAGTGTAGATCTGATGGAGCACAGAGTGTGTAGATCTGATGGAGCACAGAGTGTAGATCTGATGGAGCACAGAGTGTGTAGATCTGATGGAGCACAGAGTGTCTTCTCCATGATGATTGGTGGATAACAGATCCCCCCCCCTTCTTCTGCAGGTGGTGTTCTTCGAGGACAGGAACTTCCAGGGTCGTTCCTATGAGAGCAGCAGCGACTGCGCTGACATGTCTTCCTACCTGAGCAGGTGTCAGTCCTGCAAGGTGGAGCGTGGCTGCTTCATGGTGTACGACCGCACCAACTACATGGGCAACCAGTTCTTCCTGAAGAGGGGAGACTACTCCGACTACCAGAGCATGATGGGCATGAGCGACTGCATCAAGTCCTGCCGCATGATCCCCATGGTGAGCACTCAGCCAATCACAGCACAGCACTGACCAATCAGAGTCCAGTCTCTTATAAAGCAGGTCAAATACTGGCAGCCATGTTTAAAGGTCTCCTATTATACTATTTTTAGGCATATATTATAGGTCTCAGATATATAAAAAACATGTCTCTGAAGTGTTTTGCTAAAAATACCATCAGGAGAATTCTCCCAGCAGAAACTCAGCTAAATGCTGCCGTAATTAAACTCCATATCATGTTCCAAACCACATGGGCTGCTCTAAAGCCCGCCCACATTTGAGTAATGTCGTCATGACGCAGCAAATCTGGATCAGCTCCGTTGTTCCCCCGTTTTTAGAGATGTGGGTATGGAGGAAAAGAGAGAGGGGTTTATTTCCTGATACTTTGTGAGACTCCTGACACACCGGGGACACATCGGGGACACATCGGGGACACACCGGGGACACACCGGGGACACACCGGGGACACACCGGGGACACATGGTGATGTAGAGAATACATCAGAAAGTGCATTTTGCATGATAGGAGTGTATTAGCAGCAGTTCAACGGTTCTTGACGTGTTGCAGCACCGCGGCCAGTACCGTATGAAGATCTACGAGAAGGAGAACTTCGGAGGCCAGAGCCACGAGATGATGGAGGACTGCAACAACGTGATGGAGCGTTTCCGCATGTCTAATTGCATGTCCTGCCAGGTGATGGACGGACAGTGGCTGATGTACGAGCAGCCCAGCTTCAGAGGACGCATGATGTACATGAAGCCCGGAGAGTACCGCAGCTTCAGCAGCATGGGCATGAGCAGCAACCACTTCATGAGCATGAGGCGCATCATGGACTCCTACTACTGAACCCAATAAAGCTTCATCATGTACTCCTACTACTGAACCCAATAAAGCTTCATCATGTACTCCTACTACTGAACCCAATAAAGCTTCATCATGTACTCCTACTACTGAACCCAATAAAGCTTCATCATGGACTCCTACTACTGAACCCAATAAAGCTTCATCATGGACTCCTACTACTGAACCCAATAAAGCTTCATCATGGACTCCTACTACTGAACCCAATAAAGCTTCATCATGGACTCCTACTACTGAACCCAATAAAGCTTCATCATGTACTCCTACTACTGAACCCAATAAAGATCATTCATCATGTACTCCTACTACTGAACCCAATAAAGCTTCATCATGTACTCCTACTACTGAACCCAATAAAGCTTCATCATGTACTCCTACTACTGAACCCAATAAAGCTTCATCATGGACTCCTACTACTGAACCCAATAAAGATCATTCATCATGGACTCCTACTACTGAACCCAATAAAGATCATTCATCATGTACTCCTACTACTGAACCCAATAAAGCTTCATCATGTACTCCTACTACTGAACCCAATAAAGCTTCATCATGTACTCCTACTACTGAACCCAATAAAGCTTCATCATGTACTCCTACTACTGAACCCAATAAAGCTTCATCATGGACTCCTACTACTGAACCCAATAAAGCTTCATCATGTACTCCTACTACTGAACCCAATAAAGCTTCATCATGGACTCCTACTACTGAACCCAATAAAGCTTCATCATGTACTCCTACTACTGAACCCAATAAAGCTTCATCATGTACTCCTACTACTGAACCCAATAAAGCTTCATCATGTACTCCTACTACTGAACCCAATAAAGCTTCATCATGGACTCCTACTACTGAACCCAATAAAGCTTCATCATGGACTCCTACTACTGAACCCAATAAAGCTTCATCATGGACTCCTACTACTGAACCCAATAAAGCTTCATCATGGACTCCTACTACTGAACCCAATAAAGCTTCATCATGTACTCCTACTACTGAACCGAATAAAGCTTCATCATGTACTCCTACTACTGAACCCAATAAAGATCATTCATCATGGACTCCTACTACTGAACCCAATAAAGCTTCATCATGGACTCCTACTACTGAACCCAATAAAGCTTCATCATGGACTCCTACTACTGAACCCAATAAAGATCATTCAATCCACTGCTGTGTCCTCCATACTTCCTCTGGTATAAATCAATAACAATCATTGAGATGTCCTTAGAGACAGACCATGGACCTGAAGTCCAGCAGTTTAAGGTCCAGAACAATACACACATTACTGCTAAGAGAAACCCAAACTAACGGACCAAAACCTTGGGTATTGCTGCTATCTCTCTTAAGGAGGGGCAGCTTGGGCAACTCTCGGTTAGAGATAGTTATTGTTGTGGGACACCTGGAACACTTCCTTCTCGGGGTGTAGATGACCCCGAGCCATAAGCGACAACAAATGTGATTCAGTGTCCTCAGCTGTTTAGTCTATCTATTGAAGAATGTTGATTATTACACTCTGAACTAGTTCAAACCTGGAGCTACAAGAGGGGTCTTCAGAATTGATTGTGGCATCTCTACCGTGTGGTCAGACCGTGGCCCGGGACATGTCTTGTGAATTCTCCGCCCGAAGCTCCAAATAAACCGTCAGTGTTTGCCATCAAAGCTCCAGCTCTCCTCGTGTCTCTCTGAGTCCTGTTTCCAATTGCTTCAGAAGTTTCCCCCACAAATACAAATAATAATAACACTAATAATCATAATAATAATAACAATAGTTATCAGTGATTATTCCCAAGCTGGTAAATAAACATGGAACTCTTTCAGATGCTTTTATTTAGTTTGTTAAGTTTTACACATAAATGAACAAGTTTTAAACAGTAAAAAACAACAGATATAGAAAATATAGAAAAAGGTGTTGAAGTATTTTTTTGTGTTTCAAGGTAAAAATCAACACAAACAAAAATCCACTTCTTGTCGGCCACACTTTAAAACGTTCATGTTTTTAATTCATTATGATTTTAGTAGTAATGTTATTCATTCATTATGACTTTAGTAGTAATGTTATTCCCATGCTGTCACTTTATGTTGAATGCTAATGTTAGTAAAGTTAGAGTAAAGTCACAATATTTCAGAGTAAAGTAAGATATTACATCTAAGTCTTTGTTCCTGTTGGATCTGTGAAGATGTTTTATTCTGCAGGTTTGGGACAGAGTGATGCCTCCGTCAGTGAGCTCTATATATGGAGCTCTGTGAGGAAGATGCAGAGCTGCCGGGGCTTGTGGGAGATGGAGTCTTTAGGGTCTGGGAGCTGGAGTCTTTAGGGTCTGGGAGCTGGAGTCTTTAGGGTCTAGGAGCTGGAGTCTTTAGGGTCTTGGAGCTGGAGTCTTTAGGGTCCTGGAGCTGTAATCTTTAGGGTCTAGGAGCTGGAGTCTTTAGGGTCTTGGAGCTGGAGTCTTTAGGGTCTGGGAGCTGGAGTCTTTAGGGTCTAGGAGCTGGAGTCTTTAGGGTCTGGGAGCTGGAGTCTTTAGGGTCTGGGAGCTGGAGTCTTTAGGGTCTGGGAGCTGGAGTATTTAGGGTCTGGGAGCTGGAGTATTTAGGGTCTGGGAGCTGGAGTCTTTAGGGTCTGGGAGCTGGAGTCTTTAGGGTCTGGGAGCTGGAGTCTTTAGGGTCTGGGAGCTGGAGTCTTTAGGGTCCTGGAGCTGTAATCTTTAGGGTATGGGAGCTGGAGTCTTTAGGGTCTGGGAGCTGGAGTCTTTAGGGTCTGGGAGCTGGAGTCTTTAGGGTCCTGGAGCTGGAGTCTTTAGGGTCTGGGAGCTGGAGTCTTTAGGGTCTGGGAGCTGGAGTATTTAGGGTCTGGGAGCTGGAGTCTTTAGGGTCTGGGAGCTGGAGTCTTTAGGGTCTGGGAGCTGGAGTATTTAGGGTCTGGGAGCTGGAGTCTTTAGGGTCTGGGAGCTGGAGTCTTTAGGGTCTGGGAGCTGGAGTCTTTAGGGTCTGGGAGCTGGAGTCTTTAGGGTCTGGGAGCTGGAGTCTTTAGGGTCTGGGAGCTGGAGTCTTTAGGGTCTGGGAGCTGGAGTCTTTAGGGTCTGGGAGCTGGAGTCTTTAGGGTCTGGGAGCTAGAATCTTTAGGGTCCTGGAGCTGTAATCTTTAGGGTCTGGGAGCTGGAGTCTTTAGGGTCTGGGAGCTGGAGTCTTTAGGGTCTGGGAGCTGGAGTCTTTAGGGTCTGGGAGCTGGAGTCTTTAGGGTCTAGGAGCTGGAGTCTTTAGGGTCTGGGAGCTGGAGTCTTTAGGGTCTGGGAGCTGGAGTCTTTAGGGTCCTGGAGCTGGAGTCTTTAGGATCCTGGAGCTGGAGTCTTTAGGGTCTGGGAGCTGGAGTCTTTAGGGTCCTGGAGCTGGAGTCTTTAGGGTCTGGGAGCTGGAGTCTTTAGGGTCCTGGAGCTGGAGTCTTTAGGGTCTGGGAGCTGGAGTCTTTAGGGTCTGGGAGCTGGGAGCTTCAGGGTTTTGCGGCGGCGTGTTTCCTGAACGCTCTCTGGATCACAGCCGCCGCCACCTCTTCCTGTTTCCTCTGTAGGGTGCTGCTGATTGGTCCACAGGAACCCTGTGATTTAAATTAAAGTAGCTTTGATGATATAGATAAAAATAATACTAATAATAAACAGTATTAGTAAAAATGCAGATAACTATAGAATGATTAAATACAAATAAATGTGATTAATTATATTAATTATATTATGGAATACATCCTGAACAATGAAAACGATTTCAAACCTTCGAGGGAAACTTTTCCTCCAGTCGGGCTCGGAGAGAGCTTGTGGACTCATCGCACACCTGAACACAGGGAGAAAATAATAACATTTACCGTATCGACCCGAATATAAGACGTTTTTTTTTTCCTACAAACAAATCTGAAAAAGAGGGTCGTCTTATTTTCGGGGTCTAGACTTTTCGAAGTAATTACAAAGTCACATCACCAGATGGCGCCAAACGAGTGTTCCCCCAGTGAGACACCGTCTTAAAGTAACAGTACAACGGGAGAGAAAGAGATGGAGAGACACAGAGACCAACTCCAACAAAGTGGATCAAAGTACGCGAGTTAATACTCAAGAGAGGCCAAGTTATGATGCCAATTTTAAGATACTGGTGATCAACGAAGTCATCAAACAACTGTCGAGCAGCAAAGAAATATGGTGTTACTGAGTGTAACGTTAAAATTGCCATGAAAATGTAAACAGTCAGAGAAAAGCATTCATTCAGGTATTTTCCGAAAATGAACCTTAAAAACAAACATGTGAAGTTATGTGCCGTTTGGAGCATGTTCACATGAGTAATGAAAACATCATGTTTGATGGCCAGCATTATGTTGCCATGGCAACAGGATTTGACAAAATCTCAAAACTGGCATGTAGTTGTCTTTAGGGTTGGACCGTTAGCACACATGTGAAGTTTGAACAGTTTTGACAATTTTCATAGGAGTTATAGCAATATTGTGTTTTACGGCGAGGGATGCGTTGCCATGGCAACAGCTTTTGACTGGCCACATCACCCCTATTCTGGCCTCACTACACTGGCTTCCAGTTCGGTTCAGAATTGATTTTAAAATCCTTTTATTTGTTTTTAAAGCCCTAAATGGGCTGGCTCCGGCCTATATAGCTGAACTCCTCCAGCGCTACACCCCAGCCAGAGCTTTAAGGTCTGCTGACCAGCTGCTGCTGGTAGTGCCCAAGACCAGGCTAAAAACCAGAGGGCACCGAGCCTTCTCAGCAGCTGGCCCTAGGCTCTGGAACACTCTGCCCCTCCATGTGAGGTCGGCCCAGACCCTAGGGGTTTTTAAATCCACTCTAAAAACACACTTCTTCTCCCTGGCCTTCTAGTCAGAGCGGAGCACGACTCCTGACTTTTCCGTGTGTTTTATTTTTATTTTGTTTTTAAGATATATCTGTTGTAATTTATTGTCGATTATTGTGATTGTAGTAATGTGTTTTTATTACATGTACAGCACTTTGGCTCGACCAAAAATCGCTTTTAAATGTGCTATATAAATAAAACCTGATTTGATTTGATTTGATTTGATTTGATTTGAGGAAAACTCACTATTGTCATATAGAGGTGTTGAGGGCCGGACCATTAACCATCATCTGAAGTCTAGGGTAATTTGGACGATTTACTTCCCATGGCAACGGCATATGATGACACGCCATAATTGACATAGAGCTGCACTGTAAAATATGACCATGATTTCACAATATTTAGCTGTAATATTTTACAATAAATGACTGTTTTACCACTTTACAGTCTTTACCTGTAATGTTCACAATATAATACTGTCATTCTGAATTTCACAGTGAAATCAATGCAGGCAGTTCATTACTGTGAATGTACAGGAGAAATGATTACCAGGCTTTCACAACATGTTACTGTAAAAGACAGTCTTCAGACCATCCTCTGTGATGACACAACATGTTACAGTAAAATACTGTCTTCAGACCATCCTCTGTGATGACACAACATGTTACAGTAAAATACTGTCTTCAGACCATCCTCTGTGATGACACAACATGTTACTGTAAAATACAGTCTTCAGACCATCCTCTGTGATGACACAACATGTTACTGTAAAATACAGTCTTCAGACCATCCTCTGTGATGACACAACATGTTACTGTAAAATACAGTCTTCAGACCATCCTCTGTGATAACACAACATGTTACTGTACAATACAGTCTTCAGACCATCCTCTGTGATGACACAACATGTTACTGTAAAATACTGTCTTCAGACCATCCTCTGTGATGACACAACATGTTACAGTAAAATACTGTCTTCAGACCATCCTCTGTGATGACACAACATGTTACAGTAAAATACTGTCTTCAGACCATCCTCTGTGATAACACAACATGTTACTGTAAAATACTGTCTTCAGACCATCCTCTGTGATAACACAACATGTTACTGTAAAATACAGTCTTCAGACCATCCTCTGTGATAACACAACATGTTACTGTAAAATACTGTCTTCAGACCATCCTCTGTGATGACACAACATGTTACAGTAAAATACTGTCTTCAGACCATCCTCTGTGATAACACAACATGTTACAGTAAAATACTGTCTTCAGACCATCCTCTGTGATAACACAACATGTTACTGTAAAATACTGTCTTCAGACCATCCTCTGTGATGACACAACATGTTACAGTAAAATACAGTCTTCAGACCATCCTCTGTGATGACACAACATGTTACAGTAAAATACAGTCTTCAGACCATCCTCTGTGATGACACAACATGTTACTGTAAAATACAGTCTTCAGACCATCCTCTGTGATGACACAACATGTTACTGTAAAATACTGTCTTCAGACCATCCTCTGTGATAACACAACATGTTACTGTAAAATACAGTCTTCAGACCATCCTCTGTGATGACACAACATGTTACAGTAAAATACTGTCTTCAGACCATCCTCTGTGATAACACAACATGTTACTGTAAAATACTGTCTTCAGACCATCCTCTGTGATGACACAACATGTTACAGTAAAATACTGTCTTCAGACCATCCTCTGTGATAACACAACATGTTACTGTAAATACTGTCTTCAGACCATCCTCTGTGATGACACAACATGTTACTGTAAAATACTGTCTTCAGACCATCCTCTGTGATGACACAACATGTTACAGTAAAATACTGTCTTCAGACCATCCTCTGTGATAACACAACATGTTACAGTAAAATACTGTCTTCAGACCATCCTCTGTGATGACACAACATGTTACAGTAAAATACTGTCTTAAGACCATCCTCTGTGATAACACAACATGTTACAGTAAAATACTGTCTTCAGACCATCCTCTGTGATGACACAACATGTTACTGTAAAATACAGTCTTCAGACCATCCTCTGTGATGACACAACATGTTACTGTAAAATACTGTCTTCAGACCATCCTCTGTGATGACACAACATGTTACTGTAAAATACAGTCTTCAGACCATCCTCTGTGATGACACAACATGTTACTGTAAAATACTGTCTTCAGACCATCTTCTGTGATGACACAACATGTTACAGTAAAATACTGTCTTCAGACCATCCTCTGTGATGACACAACATGTTACTGTAAAATACTGTCTTCAGACCATCCTCTGTGATGACACAACATGTTACTGTAAAATACAGTCTTCAGACCAGCCTCTGTGATGACACAACATGTTACAGTAAAATACTGTCTTCAGACCATCCTCTGTGATAACACAACATGTTACTGTAAAATACTGTCTTCAGACCATCCTCTGTGATGACACAACATGTTACTGTAAAATACTGTCTTCAGACCATCCTCTGTGATGACACAACATGTTACTGTAAAATACTGTCTTCAGACCATCCTCTGTGATGACACAACATGTTACAGTAAAATACAGTCTTCAGACCATCCTCTGTGATGACACAACATGTTACAGTAAAATACAGTCTTCAGACCATCCTCTGTGATGACACAACATGTTACTGTAAAATACAGTCTTCAGACCATCCTCTGTGATGACACAACATGTTACTGTAAAATACAGTCTTCAGACCATCCTCTGTGATAACACAACATGTTACAGTAAAATACTGTCTTCAGACCATCCTCTGTGATGACACAACATGTTACAGTAAAATACTGTCTTCAGACCATCCTCTGTGATGACACAACATGTTACAGTAAAATACTGTCTTCAGACCATCCTCTGTGATGACACAACATGTTACTGTAAAAGACAGTCTTCAGACCATCCTCTGTGATAACACAACATGTTACTGTAAAATACTGTCTTCAGACCATCCTCTGTGATGACACAACATGTTACAGTAAAATACAGTCTTCAGATCATCCTCTGTGATGACACAACATGTTACAGTAAAATACTGTCTTCAGACCATCCTCTGTGATGACACAACATGTTACAGTAAAATACTGTCTTCAGACCATCCTCTGTGATGACACAACATGTTACTGTAAAATACAGTCTTCAGACCATCCTCTGTGATGACACAACATGTTACTGTAAAATACAGTCTTCAGACCATCCTCTGTGATGACACAACATGTTACTGTAAAAGACTGTCTTCAGACCATCCTCTGTGATGACACAACATGTTACAGTAAAATACTGTCTTCAGACCATCCTCTGTGATGACACAACATGTTACTGTAAAATACAGTCTTCAGACCATCCTCTGTGATGACACAACATGTTACTGTAAAATACTGTCTTCAGACCATCCTCTGTGATAACACAACATGTTACTGTAAAATACTGTCTTCAGACCATCCTCTGTGATGACACAACATGTTACAGTAAAATACTGTCTTCAGACCATCCTCTGTGATAACACAACATGTTACTGTAAAATACAGTCTTCAGACCATCCTCTGTGATGACACAACATGTTACTGTAAAATACTGTCTTCAGACCATCCTCTGTGATAACACAACATGTTACTGTAAAATACTGTCTTCAGACCATCCTCTGTGATAACACAACATGTTACTGTAAAATACTGTCTTCAGACCATCCTCTGTGATAACACAACATGTTACAGTAAAATACAGTCTTCAGACCATCCTCTGTGATAACACAACATGTTACTGTAAAATACTGTCTTCAGACCATCCTCTGTGATGACACAACATGTTACAGTAAAATACTGTCTTCAGACCATCCTCTGTGATGACACAACATGTTACTGTAAAATACTGTCTTCAGACCATCCTCTGTGATGACACAACATGTTACTGTAAAATACTGTCTTCAGACCATCCTCTGTGA